CAAGTTCCTGGGCTCCACCATCTCCCAGGACCTGAAGTGGACATCCAACATCAGGACCATCACCAAGAAGGCACAGCAAAAGATGTACTTCCTGCGCCAGCTCAGGAAGTTTGACCTGCCCCAGGAGCTGCTGATACAGTTCTACAGAGGAATCATCGAGTCTGTTCTCTGCACCTCCATCACTGTCTGGTTTGGCTCAGCAACTAAACAGGACAAGTACAGACTTCAGCAGACAGTCAGGACTGCAGAGAAGGTCATTGGTGTGAGCCTGCCCTCCATAGAGGACCTGTACACTGCACAGGTCAAAAGGAGGGTGGAGAGGATCACTGCAGACCCCTCACACCTCGGACACAATCTGTTTGTACTCCTCCCTTCTGGACAGTGTTACAGGTCACTGTGCACCAAGACAACCAGGCACAGACAGTTTCTTCCCCCAGGCTGTCACTCTGATGAACACTTAACCCATGACAGTATGACTGGACAATAACCCTCAGTGCAATACCTGTAAATATACATTGTAAAGATTATACAGATCCGTACAGGTCTCTAGTTTTAAGTACTCTGTTTTTATCCCTATTTATCTCATTTCAATGAACATTCCTTGTTGTCTGCATTGTTTAATGTCTGTTTATACTGCTTATTCTGCATTGTTTGCACTGTTTGTTGCTGTCAATATTGCTGTTAATACTGCTTATTTTGTTATATTACACAGCCTTATGCTGGTTTACTGTTTGCACATTGAGAGCCGATGTACCTGAGTCAAATTCCTCGTGTGTCCATCACACCTGGCCAATAAAACTGATTTTGATTCTGAGTTCACCATCGACATCAGCAGCAGCTTTACGTGCCGATCCTGACATAAGTCATTCATCTGGTGAACAGAAAAGTTATTCCAGCACAACTGAGAACAAGAACTTAAAACTACAATTTGTATTACTTTATAATTAAGATAGCAGTAGTATGAGACTCTACAATCAGTCACTTTTTCTCTGTCCAGCCCTCCCTCTCCCTGCTTGCAGCCCATTGTGAATGCAAAACTGGTCACAGTGTCATGGTTTGGGGAGAAATCCACCAAGTTAGCAGACAGCATTCTACTGGTGGGTATAAAAATAATGTAATAACTGAGCTGACTTCCCTGCTTCATGTCTATAGTAAATAGCACAGCTGTATAGCAACTTCCACCAAATGACAGGCGGACACAACAGCTTGTGAACATCAGCAGAGAAATAATAGTGGACCCCGCATATCTACAAAAAAACTCTTTGTTATACATACTATTAGGAAAAACAATTCTGAAATTGAATAAAGTACACTGTCTAGTGTGGCTAAGCTTACATTATTGTAGTACTTGAAGAGAGCAACACACAGAAAAGTAATACCGCCACAGTTGTAGCAGGTGCCAAACTGGTGTCCAAGAGCCAGACTCCTGGGGAAAATCACCAAGTTAGTGGAGACTACAACACATTCAGGCGGGAGGTGTTAAAATAAGGTAATTCACTGGTGATAAATTGATTTGACAGCTGTGGCAGACCAGGTGGCTTGTAAATGAACTATGTGGATGTAACTGGTTGATTACCATAAATGAAAGCAGCAATGAAGCTGTTAACCAGCTCCTGTTACAGTTACTAGCTCAAATCTATAAAGTACAATTTTTCTTAGCAAATGCAACATCTTGTCAGGTGATCTTTTTCAACATAATTAACCATATGTACTTTAAGACCCCAAAACACTATTTGCAATCTAAGAAAATAAGGTATTTTCTGTGAAAATGTTTGCCTCTGTTGTTTTTTTTTTTTTTTTTACATTTGAACAAACATTTCCAACCATATTTTATTCTTACTTGAGTAGAATACTGATGATTTCATGAATCAATTCAAGTTTTTTTTTTATAATATTTTTGACCCACAGCCATTTTATAGTTTCTTTTTCTTTTTCTGAAAATGCTATACACATACTTTTGTGTCTAACTCTTATTTTTCTGTTTCCTATTTCTTTTGAAAAACATTATTTTACTACCACCGTGATCATCTTTTCATTTTCTAGATATGCCACCCATGATGGAAGTGAAGGGGGAACCCGGCCCCCAAGGGAAACCTGGACCAAGAGGTCCACCTGGACCACCAGGACTTCCAGGAAAACCTGGACTCGGAAAGCCAGGTCTCAATGGCCAGTCAGGCCCACAGGGGCCTCCTGGCTTTCCAGGAATTGGTAAACCAGGACTTCCAGGTCTCCCAGGAAAGACTGGGCCAAATGGGGTGCCAGGGCTTAATGGTGAAGTTGGCCCTCGTGGTGAACCAGGTCTTAGAGGTCCTCCAGGGCAGCCTGGTCTCCCTGGCCCAGCTGGCCTGTCTCTGAATGGGAAACCTGGTCTTCCAGGTATCAGAGGTCCCCCTGGGACTCGGGGAGAACCAGGAGCAAATGGGATTGCTGGCCCACCAGGTGAGCGTGGGATTAAGGGTGAAAATGGAAATGGGAAGCCAGGGCTTCCAGGTATAAGGGGTCCGCCTGGGCTGAAAGGTAGTGCAGGACAGCCTGGTCTTCCAGGTATAGGCAAACCGGGACCAAAGGGTTTGCCTGGACTTCCTGGACCTAAAGGTGACCAAGGACTTCCAGGGGATCTTGGTGAACCAGGAGAGGCTGGTCCTCCAGGTCTACAAGGTCTGCCAGGACCAGCTGGGTTAGGGAAGCCTGGACTAGATGGACTGCCAGGAGCACCAGGTCCTCTAGGTTCAAAAGGTGAACCAGGACCCAGGGGTTCTCCGGGATTTCCTGGAACTCCTGGCTATGGAAAACCTGGCCTGAGTGGTCCAAAAGGAGACAAAGGCCACAGTGGGTTGCCTGGTCCCCCAGGGCACAAAGGAGATCAAGGAATGATGGGCCCAAATGGGGAGCCAGGTCTTGATGGACAACCAGGACCATCAGGACTTCAAGGCCCAATGGGACTCCCTGGAAAACATGGAATGCCAGGACAGAAAGGAGATCTGGGGCCCCAGGGTCCTCCAGGACTGCCTGGTTTGAGAGGTGATCAAGGCCCCAGTGGACTCCCTGGAAAACCCAGCATCCCTGGAGAAAAAGGCATCCCTGGGATTAATGGCCCAACTGGAAAACCTGGGGTCAAAGGTGAAGCAGGCCATATTGGACTACCTGGGAATCCTGGGCTGACTGGTGCTCCAGGGCCTAAAGGTGAGGCAGGGTTTATAGGGGCACCAGGCC